CCTATAGCAATGAGTTCCACAAGTAACAGCAATTTACCAAGGGAGAAGGATAGCAGCGTATGGAGGTGTTACACTTGCAGATAGCACCCTTTTCAGCTGCCAGATTTATCTTTGGCAGTCAGAAATAAATTACAATAAAGAGAGCTATGCGGAGGATGGAAGCTGTGTTTCACAAAATATTTTGAGCTTTCAAAAATTGGCTTTTCTCCACATTGGAGCGAAAAGGAATACTGTTGAAATTCTTTGCAAAGGAAAATTTTGATTTTGTTTGTTGGTTTCAGGTCAATGAAAATGTTTTATTTCTGTTTTTTTTTAAGGTCTGTAGTTCTTGAGGCAGATGTTATTTGGGGGGTTATTCATTTAATTTTGGAGGGTATTTTTAGCAATTTTTGAGTTTTATGTAGATGTCCAAAAATGGAGGTTTTCTGGTGCTTTTTACTTTGTATATACTGAAGTATTATATGTGTTGCTTATTACAGCAGAACACACAGTGCAGAGTAATCTCTTTGTAACATTCCCTGTTGCACTTTAGTACTGTTTCAAACACTGGTTACGTCTATACTGCACCCTTCTTCCGCAAAAGCTTCTGCAAATGAAGCGCAGATTAACATATTGCTACGCTTCATTTGCGTAATTAATTAGGGGCTGTTTTTGTGCAAGAGGCTTTTGTGCAAAAAGGAGCTGTGTAGACGGCTCCTTTTTGCACAAACCCCCCCTCTTGCGCAAGAGCCGTTCTTCCTGAAAAAACGAGGAAAAACAGCTCTTGCACAAGAAGGGGTTTTTGTGCAAAAAGGAGCTGTCTACTCAGCTCCTTTTTGCGCAAAAGCCTCTTGCGCAAAAATGGCCCCTAATAATTATGCAAATGAAGCATGGCACTATGCTAATCCATGCTTCATTTGCATAAGCTTTTGCGGAAGAGGGGTGCAGTATAGACGTAGTCACTGTTAACATGATCTAGGGACCCCTTAGGGCAGGGGTGGGCAATAAGACGGCAGCAGCTATATTTACCTACGTGGTTCCAGTGATTACAGCTCCTATTGGCCGCAGATCGCTGTTCCCAGCCAATGGGAGTGGTGGAAAGCAGTGTGAACTGGGACATCACTTCCTGCAGCTCCCATTGGCTGGGAACAGGGATCCATGGCCAATGGGAGCTGTGATTGCTGGTACCTGCGGCTGTGCAGTTAATATAGTAGTGGGGGCCCACCAGGGGTTAAACATGCTGAACTGGATCCAACCCGGAGGCCAGTATTTGCCCACCCTTGCTTTAGTACACACCAGCAGAATCGAGATGGAGCAATTAATGGGTAACTTACAGGGCACACTGGCAGGGTCTACACATGGGCCACTCATCTGCAACACATTAGTGCGCTTTGGAAACAACACCCCGCCCGCAGTCTTCATTAATGCTCCCTTCCAGACAAGTCACCACTTGTGGTGGTTTTGCAATGTTTCTTGGATAACCACCAAATTCTTTTTTATTGTTTTAATCATGGGGTTTGATCATTGTTTATTGGTGAAGGCCAGAAATCAAAAGCCCTAAACATTTTTAAAAAATTCAAAACAAAAAGCCATTTCAAAACAAATACATGACATACTTCTTTTGGATGATATCAAAGCAAGATGTTTTAGTATGATCAGACCTTTCCCCCGCCACTGTATCTGCAAAATAAAACTCTAGCAAAGCTGATCTGATGTTGCAAAGCATTTCCATTTTGATTGAATGGCATAATCCACAACCATAGTTCCCTTTGCATTTTTCCAACCTGCTCAGGTTGGGTATGTCTACACTGCCACCCTAGTTCGAACTAGGGTGGCTAATGTAGGCATTCGAAGTTGCAAATGAAGCCCGGGATTTAAATATCCCGGGCTTCATTTGCATTTTGCCGGGCGCCGCCATTTTTAAATCCCCGTTAGTGCAGACTCCGTGCCCGCGGCTACACGCGGCATGGAGTAGGTAGTTCGAATTAGGCTCTCTAATCCGAACTACCGGTACACCTGGGCTCCTGGAATCACAGGGTCTAAGCGTCTCCTGCCTTGTATCTGTCTCTTTTAGGGTTTTGTACATAGAGCCACATATCAGTGTGGTATATGCGAGCCTGCCCTGTAAAATCAGTAGCAACAGGGAAGTCTGTAACAGGCACTATGAAGTGTCTGTCGTATCTCCTTTTTGGAGGTAGCAACTGCCTGAGGTAAGGGTTTTTGGAGAGTCTCGTTTGTTTTACTGTGGGTTTTTGTGGGGAGTGAGGTGCTTGAGGTTGTGTGATTCATGCTATAGTGGAAAGGCTTTTTCAGCAAGGAAGGTTTTGTAATGTTTCCTAGAAAGAGTCAGGGCTTAGCAGCCCGGTGTGGGAAAGCACTCTATAGGGGCGGGTTATTCCTGGACCACACTAATGTGCTGTGGGTGTGTTGTTTGGAACATTGTCGTAGTCTCCTGGTGCACTTGAATCTCGTGCTATTTGCAACAGTACTGCAGTAAAGCACAGGACGGACGCTTTAGTGCACGCCAGCAGGGCCACATTATGACTTTCGTGGGCCCTAGGCACTTTTTCCTGCGTGGGCCCCTTCCTCCATTAAAAAAAA